TAACTATTATCGATCTCCACACAAACCTTTTGATAACTGAAACATTAATCTATTATAGCTGTCGAGTCAATAAATTTTCGTTCAGGGGGGGGGGGGGGATAGTGATACCCCAATTTTTTTGTTCCGTGGACATTGTCAATGATGCCGAATGGCCATATAGATATTTCCCATCTCCACTTACCAGGCTACTGGTTCCTTGACAGGCATGAGATTGTCCAGGGATGAATCTGTACAAATTAAAAAGGCCAACAATTAGTTCCGCTGTGGCTTCAACTATCACACATCGACTTTATCCAAAAGTCCCACATCACCAAGTCACAAGAGAGAACATGCCTCACACAACATTCAACCATAGTTCCAGAGTGGATGCTCCCCCCCCCCCCCCCCCCCCCCCCCGTATATATTCGCCTCTAATATACAAATAGTCCATTCCCGAATAGCTACTTTGACCAAGTGTTCATTACCTGGGGTGGTATCAGGAGTGGAGTGCACTGTACCCGTGGCAATGGGCTGTACATTGATCTCTTGCCAGTCATCACCACTGTTCACTACCCGCAGCAGGACCTGCATGGCAGCAATCAAGATAGAAGCACACATATCCATATGCAAGATTTAGACTTACTGATTGTGGCAAGTTGCACCCGGTAAGCATGGTAAAAGGTCATTATACCGTTTGTACCATGACTATCATCGTATGCATGGAGAAACTATGTTCTTACTACTCCTTAGCGTATGGTGCAGAACAATTCTCTATTCAACCAGGATTTAGTTGGAGTAGTGATAGATAGATGTACAAGTAATTGCCACCATTTCAGCTGCACATCTAATTCAGCATAATGGTAGATCAGTTGAACTCCCTGCATAGATCTATTGAAGCTTGTGACAGCAGTGAGGGCTGTATCCCACCAGCCCGTAGAGTGGTACAGGAAATTCGAGCTTCCTAACCTGACAAGATGTTGGACAATCTCCTCTGGTCTAGCGACTACTTCATAGCTTAGTTGTGGAGCATCTCTGGCCAATAGCGAAGGTCTCTGGTTCGCGCAGTGTCCCGCTGGTGGTAGACATTTTTTTCTTCCGACTTTCTCCTTTTATAACTCCCTGAAACTGATGAATTAGTTGAACTACTCTTCTACCAATATACCATCATACCTGGAATCAGTCTATTTAGCAATATTATTATTATCCACCTATACCACATGCTACATTCCACAATGGACTAGGTTACCATGGTTACGTTATTCAGTACATGATGTGCACACGGTTTATAGCTGGGATTGGATTTGCAAAATGAACACAAATCCAGCCGTGAATCCGACAAGACCTTTCGTGGGAACATTTCTCAAATCAGTACATAGGAAAAATGCAAAGCAACACAGCAATGTCGATTTATACAGCTCTGTGAAGTGGCGATGTGACGTACATGTACAACAGCAGGAAAAGATGACACGCACTGCGCCAAACATGAGAGCACTGTAACTATCACTTGGATTTTAGGTAAATTTTCATCTTCCATTCAAAGATGATAACTATCACGAGGAGGTGGTGGTATATCATAAGAGCACTTGCTGTAACGTTAATGTCCCTGCCTACTGCGTTAAGGCAAGCAGGGGACATGAACACATGTGCAGTGCTTGCACTGTCACGTTTCTCAGGTGCTGGGATTGCACTTACATGGGGATGTGTACATTGCCAGATTACAACCCGAGCTATATGTACTGTATGATGTTGGCAAAAATAAATAAAAAATAAAATAACCGAGAACAAAGCTGTATCGATCAAAATTGGTGCGCTTCCATTTCGTGATTACCATGTACTTAATTCAGTACAATCATGTAGTAGGATCCAGGATTTTGACCTGGAACTTTAACACAGCCGGAGAGTACATTGTACACCCATTTGGCGTTTTTTTGGAGAAGGAACACAAAGGTGTATAAGTGCATGGTCGGTGCATGCCCAGTAAGCGGCCAACACTAACCGCGCTGGGACCATGACCAGCGTGTTCAAGAGAGCACCCCCCCCCCCCATGATGGTGAGTGCCTGGTGATACCTGAAGATGACGTCTGTTAGTCCGCAGGTCAGTTTGTCGACAAGTGGCAAACAGGCATATATACTGCCACAGAAGATAATGATGCATTGAAAGAACTGTATGAATGAGCCCATTACTTTCATGTTCACATGCTTCAGGGGCGTAGCACCCGGTGCAGCAGGTCAGGCCAGGACCTTATTCAAAAAAGTTGTCCCTCCCGATTTGTGCAAATGGTCAATAATGGGCATTTCCACCAAGTATCCCATTTTACAGTCTTAGTCCGATTCTGTTTACATGCTACTTTGAGAGTGCACTGCGAGGTATCAGATCTGACTCCCCTCCTGACGACATCCTACCACCTGAACTGCAGTATGCGGATGATCTAGACTTCATTGGAACTGATGAGCAAGAGCTAGAGGACGTTCATGATCAATGTGCAGAGACCCTCCCAAGCCATAACCTCACCGTTAATACCTCCAAAACTGAACGAACAAAGATATACCTGGCTGATGATCTGGAGGAGCGTGGTTCCGAAGCATGGAGAAATGCGAAGTCGCTGGGATCACGGCTAGGCTCAGCGCAAGATGTCCAAGCCAGAAAGGCCCTAGCAACCCAGGCATTCTGTTCGTTGTACGCACTCTTCAAGCATCAATCTACCTCACTACTGCTTAGAGTTGCGCTGTACAATACCTATGTGAAGCCAGTGCTGTTGTACAACTGTGCGACATGGGGTCTCACAGATGCCACCACCAGAGGGATTGACACCTTTCATCGAAGGCATCTGAGAACAATGGCTGGCGTTAAGTTCCCGAACACAATTACCAACAAGCATCTGTACGACATCTGCGGCTCAGCACCAATTTCGCTCGAGATTGACCAACGGCGTTGGGAATTCCTTGGTCACGTACTGAGAATGCAGAAGAGCTCTCCCCCACAGCGCGTGTTAGAGTTTTCAGCCACCGCGAGCCTGCGCGGTCGACTGGGCCGACCCAGGACAACTCTCCTCTCAGCTCTTTCTCAGGACTGCCTAGCCCGACTCGGCATTCGCCTGGGCACGCTTAGAGGCCTTAATCAGCTGCGGCAGTTGGCAGGGGATAAGTCACGGTGGAATGGCACCCCGCGGCACTCATCTTCCTCTGCCGAGCCGCGTCCTTTGACTTATCCCCTGCAGGGTGAACATCGTGCACGAACAGTCTACCGTCTTTCTGACATTGCCACTCGAACTTGACAATAGAAGCTGCTTTTCGTATGTGCAGTTACATTGATGGTGTTTTTGTCTTATGTTTGTGAATCCTTCCCGGAAGCAAATGCTGGTTTTTATGCATTCGTGTAATTACTCAGCGTTATTTGCAATAATAATAAAATAAAATCCCATTTGGCCGAACCATCTGAAATCCAGGAGCTATGCTGCTGGACCTGGTTACTTGTATGCTATACACATGCACAAGCGTTGGTGAGTAGCGTAGGCAGTTAGTTTACAACTGGCTTCGTTTCTTATGCTAATAATTATTGTTTCCCTCCGACTAAATCCAATATTGCCAAAGGAATTATGCTACACAGCAGAAATGAAAAAGGCGCAATGCGCGTACCTAGCGTAGAGACTTTGGGCAAGTCTTCACATTTCGGAAGCTCCACTCTCAAACTTCAAAGTGCAACCAAAGAAAGAGGTCCGTAACTACCCCAAGCAGCGGCATGTTCTGTGATGTACCGCACCGCACAGCACTCATTGATCGGCACTGACATGATCTTTACCTTGGCAAGAGTCGACGTCCTACTCTCCGGGAGCAATGCCGTTGAGTTGTAAGCGAACACATAGTCAACGTTATCCTGGAACAAGTGGTTCCAAGCACCGGGCACTTCGGCACTGCCACAGTGAATCGTCGCTCCGAGCAAGCACAGCACGATGATAGACAGCGCCGCCGTAGCTGATTCACGCTTTGCGGCATTCTCTCCGCATCCCGTCCTCCGGGGGTGGATTCCTGGCATCGTGGCGACCCTACCCTCCAGAGATTGGATTCAACTGAATATTACTAGTATACGCTACGCTGTTCCTGCAAGACGACACTACGGTCTCCGTGAATGTCAACTGCCCAAGCAGTATCGTTAGGGTCAACGAACAAGAAAAGACGTTGAAGGAACTGTCCGGTACCCAGACCAAGTAAAAGTAGTTTGTTGTTCTTTGATTTTCAATTTCAGCTGCTCAAATCATCTCCTCCGGCAGCTACTTTCACATGCAAATCTACCTCTCTCGTATCTGCCGCGAAATGACAGTTTGGCAGCTGCATGCACCCTTCGACTTCGTCTACTGACTGTCTGAAGTCATGATGAGTAACAGGTAGGTGAAAGACAGGACGGTCGGTAGATCTACGGTCGGTCTTCATGAATCATGGTCTTGACTCTTGAACTGAAATGAAAACCGGCGGGTAGCAGGGTCCGGGTAGTGAGTTATGCGGGGGCATATTGCCCCGACCCTGGTCAGGAGTGTATGATCCGGCATCGACCATATGCCATGTCGTTTCACCGACCCATGTTTTGTCCTAGACGCCTACGCCTACGGCTGCGGGCACTGCACTACTAGTACTACTGACAGTACTGTACAATGATTATGTACTTCTTTGTAGGCGTCCGCATCCAGTACAGGCAGTAGCCATGGTAACAGCTATAGCGCTCCGATCCGATCAACGAGCGCTACACCCATGCCCAGTTTTGTGGTGTCACCATGGTCACTGTCAGTGTCATCATGGACAGTCATCATTCATGCGAATCATGGACATGGTCATGCCAGGGGAATCGGATCTTGGTCGATGGTTTTGTGGCGGTGCATGTGATCATGGTGATCGTGTATGTAAAAGAGAAAATATTCAAAATAAAAATACTCGCAATTAAAATGTGTTCTTAGATACTAGCGCTAGCGATCGTGTTGACGAGTAGTTCATAGGGTAGAGGTAGAGATGGAGGGAGCAGAGCAGGGTGGCGACGACGGAGACGATCTTTTCCTCGACTATGACGATGATGATTGCGATGAACTAAACAAGAAACGAAATGAGGAGAATAGTGATGAAGACGACGATAACGTGGAAGACCTTGACGACAGCGAGAAGTGCTTCAAGCTGGTACTGCTCGGGAAATGGCCCGAGCTAATGGAAGTGCTCAAGTCTTCAGAGAATGCCAGTGATCTGGTTCAGCTGGTGGATGATCGCGGCATTCATATACAGTGCTTTGCTGCCATGCTGGGACGCACCAAGTGTTTGAATGTGCTGCTGGAGAGTGGAGCTGATCGAGATGTAGCCTTCTCTAAACACGGTATGCTGTGGGTGATTCGTGCTTGGACAGTGTCTGAAGACATACATACATATTGTCGTGTATTGAGGTTGTACGGTGGCGCTATCATGCTGTATGTTTTTCCATTGAGTGGCATTACAGGCTAGGCATCGGCTTGCCACTCCATTCAAAGCATGCATATGATTGTGATGACATCATTAATTTTGCTTTGCGCCATGCATTCCCACTTCTCTCAGGGCTGAGGCTTCAGCATCTGGCTGCCGCATGGGGACGCGAGGACTGTCTAGCATCCTTACTGGAACAGGGCTGTGATGAGTTTCTCATGTCGTCTTCCGGCACCACAACGTTCATGCAAGCAGTGCGTAACCAGCAAGCCAGCACCACTCAACTACTGCTGATGCGACGTAAGTACACTCACCACTGGCCCGCAGTATGATTACAGTACTCATAGCTTTGAGCCCTACTTTTCAATGTAGACATAAGTCAAGAAGCACTGGTGCTGCTCAACACAAACTGTGTACAGTCATGTACAACGATATCATGTCCATCGTATGCACATGTATAGCCTCTATTCTGTGCAGCTATCACAGTATCAGTATAATTAATAATTTACTTCACGAGAACTTACACATACATGTGCGTTGCACGTGCAACCTCTGTTGCCATATCCCGCACAAAGCCCGCGGACGAGAGAGGGGGCATCAAGGAATCAACCAGCACCCTATCAACTTACTTTCTTCCACACGCGTACGTGTACACACGCGTAAAATCCCCCTACCCCAATGGACAAACAGTTTGGGACGAACAGTTAGCTCAGTTAGTCTTCATTTAAAGTTCTCTTTGACGAATGTATCTCTATTTGTCCATGTGTTGGGGACAATTACTTCCACAGACATGACATCCAGTATGAAAGAGCTCATCGTAGCAGTCAAGGCGCGCCTTGATGACAAGAAGCTTGTCGCAGAATGTGGAATGAAGGGACCAGAAGTGGTGAGTCGCTAGAATACTAGTGTGGAATCAAACGCAAACACATTGCAGCGAATTTAGATAAAGTGCTCAAATTGATTGTGGCGGGAGGGGAGGGAACCCTAAAACTGAAAAGGCACAATGGGCATAGAAGACAAAGCGAGGCTTTGCTTGAGACTCGAGTTTCGCCCTGTGTGATCCTTAGGCCAAACAAACCCCAACATCAACAGCAAACGGGGAAATAGGTTATTAACTTGTTATTTATATTGCAAGGAAAGTAAGTGGTTGTAAGTAACCACACTGACCAGGTGGTGAATAATACTGTGCTCATCTCATGGTCTTAGGGGCCGTCCATAACTATCGATCTTTTACACGAAGAGAAAAAAAGTTTCGTTTATGGGTGGGTGGATCATGCAAGGGGAGTTTTGTTTCGAAAAAATATTGATATGTGAGACATCAAGGCGTTCTTGCTGTCAAGTCCATGTCTTTTTCGTTCAAAGGGGGTGGGGGGAGGATCCTAACTAAACTGTTTTCATTTCGTGAAAAGTATCGATAATGCCGGATAGCCCCTTTATACTAGTGTGTAATGTCCACTTGAAACGCAAAGCCTGTGTTGCACTGCGCAACCCTGAACCTCAGTATGGAAATGCACTGCACACTTAGTGGATACAGTGCTTGGGCACATGCCTATACTGTGCAGTGTCAAATGTCCGTATGGAAAGAAACACCCTACAAGCATGATATACAAATCTGTACAGACTGAGCGCCTTTCGAAAATTACCCGCTGTACGAGCATCACAGCATTCTTAGCTGTGCAAAACGCTGTCTGCAAATCTTACCAACGCTGCCCTGTTTTATCTTGTCTTTGTAACTTGTTACACGGCGCAGAGCAAGCTCAGCACGACTTGTAACAAGAGAGCCGATCAACTCAAGTCCACGAAACAGAAGGTACCCGCTACCTGGGAGGAAGTGAATGAACAGTACCTGGATCTACTGGAGACTGTTGCACCAACCGTGAGAAGGCTGCAGGAGGCCGGCTATGACGTTGCGCATTTCACTGAACCAGAGGAGTTCACTGCGGCGAGTACGAGGGAGAGGTACGTGAACCTGTGCCGTTCCTTAGAGCTGATCGATGAAAAGACTGCGAAAATCATCCTGGCAAGGTAGACTGAAACTCACAAGCGTATGCTCTGTGCGTGGCATAGTTACATCCATGATTGCACGAAGAGTTAGCCTGCTGCACACAGTACATCGGACCCATGCAGCTCGGCTAAGTGGTCACAAGGCGGTGACGTGGTGCTACGAGGAGCCAGGGACTCTGGACCATGTGACAACCATGCTGATGACCAAGTCCGCGCAGGAATGGTGGAACACGGATGATATGCCACAGTGCAGTGCAATGTCATGCATTGCAACGCTAACTGGCCCATTCTATAAATGGATGCATGTGAGAGAGTGCATGTGTCACCCCTTCACAGATAACCATCTATCCTTATGTTGGAGATCTTGAAGGATTTTTTCCAATGTTGGCTATGTGCGTGTGTAGCACTTGCTGGTGCTTCTTTCTCACTAGCCATGGGTCTGTTTGCCAGCGAACACACCGTCAGCCGTCAAAGAATGCTCGCAACACATTGCACTTGACTGAACTTCCTCCACTCGTCCATGTACTGTCAAGCCACTGCCTTTGCATGTTACAGTAGAAACAGTACTAGCCGTGAGAAGCACAGCAATTACGGCCGATCAATGTGCACACGTTAATTTGCTACGCCAGCATGCCACAATAAACTTGGGTACATCCAGTTTTAGCAGGGATTGTATACTGCTCAATCTTTCCTATCAGTGCTCTCACTTAAAGTGAGAAATCACAATGTTATACAATCTATAATGTAATAGGAGTATGAGTATGAGCCTGTCCCTCCAGGAAATCGCGGTTCCCAGATGCAACAAATTTCGCGGTTTTGGCTCAAACCCGCGTTTTTCTGCATAATCCGCGATTTCCCGCGTTTTTTTGTTGTTTTCTGCACTTTTTCAAACATTCTTCTGTACTTTTCCCGCAGTGCTTTCCATGATCATGTTGGTTTTTTGCATAGACTCGACTCTTACTACTCCCGAGAGAGTGGAGTAGATCAGGGAGTAGTATTTGACGACTCCCTGGTATTTGACGACTTCCTGGAGTAGATCTACTGCCCAAATAGCGATTCTACAGATACAACAAATTTCGTGATTTGGCCCAAATCCGCAATTTTCGGCAAATAATTCCGCGAATTCCTGGCAAGTTCCGCACTTTTCGCCGCATTTTTCGTTGTTTTCTGCCGCAATCTCTTGCGCAAGTTTTCGAGACTTTTCCGCAAATTCCCGCAGGGACAGGTATGGGTGATTGCGATATGAAATAAACGGCAACTTCGCACTTTTAATGACGTGTTCATGTTTACTTGTCATATGAAATTTGATACACGTACTGTTAATGAAGATTACGTCAGCACCATGGCGGAGTGTCGCTCTAAGTTGCAACAAGAACTCACCATCTCTATCACGAACGTTGACTCAGCGCATCTGTGCGTGGGAGAGCCATATCTTGACTGCACCCCCCCCCCCCCCCCCCCCCCAAGACACGCACACACACACATACACACCATGTACACACCCGTCGCAAGAAAAGCACGCAAATCCGCAGAATGCCCTGAACGTGCACCCACAGATTTTCTCTTAAAAACAACGATAGCGGATCTGACACACACACACACACACACACACACACACATGATTGCATACAACACAGTGTTACCATCTTACCAGGACACTGACCAATCGATCAGGCTACTGGAGATCACACATATCTAGGTCCACAGCACATTACTTGCAGAAATTGAAGGGGCTTAACAGTACGCCATGCAAGTACCACTCCCACCCAAGCTGCCACAACACTTCAGCCACCAGCGACCTGCAGCAGCTGTTAGCA